GAAATTTTAAATGCTGTAAGAAAAAAATAACATATCCACAAACTTTTCAAAATGAATTGTAGAATTCATGGGTTTCATAGATGTGATCAGTTTGTGGAAATTATTATATTATCATTGTAAAATACTTGAATGTCCCAAGGCTGTATGACTCAGCTATGGTACTGATAGTGTAGGGTTTTTTTTTTTCATGCTTTTTGTGGTGGGGTTCATTGAATTTCTTGAATCTGTGGGGTTTTAGATTTCATCGTTTTGAATATCTTCAGCTGTTATTTCTTCAGATACTTTCCCTGTCCCCCTCTGTCTCCTTTGATGTTTCTAATTACACATTTATTAGAACTCTAGAAGGTGTCCTACAGTTCAGTGATATTCTGTTTCTTTTTTAAAAATTCTTTTTTCTGCCTGCTTCGTTTTTGATAGTTTACATTGCCGTGTGTTGTTGAGTTTGTTTGGGGACACAGTTAAGTTACTTGGAAAGAGTTTGGATCTTTTTGGATCTTGATTTTAAGATTTGTTAGGCAGGACCAGAGCAGTGCTAACTCCAGGGCTAATTACTCCCCACTAGCAAGGCAAAACCTTTTGAATATTCTACCCAACATTTCATGAATGATGAGTTTTCCAGTGTGGCTGGTGGGAACAGGCACTATTCCTGGCCGTGGGTGAACGCCAGGTGCTGTTCCCTCTATCTTGTCAGCTAGTTCTTTGCCCAGCTTGTGTAGTTTTCTCTCAGACATGCAGTCATCAGTATTCCGCTGAATACTGGACAGAGTGGTGCTTGTTGCACATCTCCAGGCTTCTCTCTCTGTGTACCTCTGTCCTCTCCAGTAGTCTGTCCCATGAACTCTGGCTGCTTTGCTCTTCCCAGACCTTCAGCTTTGTTTCCTCAACCCAGGGATTCCAGTCCTGTACTTCCTGCTGCCCGTGTCTGAGTTTCATGCATTATGTTCAGCTTTCCAGTAGTTTTCAATGGGAAGATGAGTTTGATTCCAGTTAGAATGTCATGACCAGAAGTTCCTTACTTTACAAATTATTTTATCTCCTCTTTCTAGCATTGTTTCTGGTACAAAGGAATCATGACCAATGTTTTCTTACTTCCTTCAGATCATTTCTGAGTATCTGCTACAATTTGTTAATTATAAATTACTAATACATGGAAATATAAGCAGTATGGTAGGATCTTTACATCACATTTCATACGTTTTTGTTGTTGTATATGCCTGAATGGAATAAATTTTTTTCCTGTGGAAATATTCTAGCATTTAAAAAAAATTAATTTAGAGTTTACTTCCCCAGAGTAACTTAAATTAGGGAGTTTTTTTTTTTTACTCCCTGTTTTTTTCTTTTTTACTACTTTATGGAGGAGCTGCTAATATTTTTTTTGCTATCTTTGAATTGATACTGTTTTATATTTTTTCCCACTATTAAGTAATGATTAGAAAATAACTCATCTTAATCTGTATTATTTTACTTTAGATATAATTTTGGCTTCTAGTGTAATGATTGTTTCCTGTTACATGTGAGAGCTGCAATTTAATTTCATGGAAGCATCTATCCTAAATTTGGAATGATACAGTGTTTCATATTTTAATAGGCTCTATGTTTGGAAATGCTGTCGTTTGTAGTGGTAGGTCACAGGGTATGTGTGTTTTTAGCAACTTGTGAATGGAATTTGAGTTGGCACAGAAATCATTTGTCTTTGATTAATTCTAATATTTACATTTTTACCAGGCAATTAAGTTTTTTTTTAATACATATGCCCACACAGGACATATATTTAGTTTATAGAAATAATTTCGTACTCAATAAATGGTTCTGAAGTTTGACATTTTTTAGTTTATTGTATATTTTGGGTTTTCTCTGTATCATTTTACTTGGTTACTTTACTTTTTTTTAAAGGCTGCGTATCATTTTATTCATGTCTTTCATTTCTTACTTAACTTTTTTGGCTATTAAAACTATGATAAATGTCCTTGTTAATATAATCTGAATGCTTATGCAAATATTTTTTGTGAGATAAATTCCAAGAAGTAGAATTTCTGGGTATAAAGTTTTGCCCTCTTAGAATTTTAATAGCTATTGCCGAATTGTTTTTCAGTAATTTACATTTCTACTAACAGTGCAGTGGAGAACCTGTTTCCCCACACTCTCACCTATAGTGTGCAATTGTTTATTTAATTTTGTCAACCTGTTACATGGGAAATAATAATTTCAATGGCTTCATTTTTATTTTTTGCTATTAAAAAGGGTAAACCTCTTCCTTTCAAATCATTCACTTCTTCAGAGGCATCTCAGAAATAATATTAAATAACACTGTTTATATTAAACAGCCTGGGTTGTGTTTGACTTATATGGTAATACTATATTTGATTATTAAGTATTTATATTTTTATGTTATAAAACATAGGTGTAGGATTTTTCTTTAAGTGAAAAGTAAAGCCATTATAGGCTTTTGCTACTCTAAGGGGAATAATTTGGAAAGGAGCATGAGGAAAAGAAAAGTCACCAATTAGGAGGTGCTGCAGTAGTCCAAGCCAGAGATAATCATAACTTCCAAAGGGGTGAGAGTGAAGATGAAGAGAAATGGGTGGATTTGTAGATTTTGGAGGGAGAATCAGAAAGACTTTTTTCTTTTTCCTTTTTTTTTAAAACAAGAGAAAATCAAAAGTTTATTAGCATATGTGTCCCATTTACGTTTGGGAGCACTTAGAGGTCAGTAAAAGGGTTGGTTAGAACTTAATGCTTATATACCATTTTATCAAAAGAACAGTACATTTTTATAGAACAGAAAGACTTTCTGATGAATTGCACATGTGGGAGGATGACAAGCTTTAGAAGAGCTGACATTTTTAGGAAGAGAGGTTATGTTTATTAGCAGTATTAGGATGTTGGGAGTGGGCTCAAGCCAGGTTTTTGTTAAAGCTGGGCTATAAATGGAAAGTCCTGATAAGAAGTATAAGGAGGTTTCTAATCATAGAGCAGCAGTTCCTGACAGTACAGGATTCTATAGACAGTGTCCTGGGTCTGATTAGGAGATATTGAGGGTGATACAGGGTTGCCAGTTGGGGTGGTTATATATACCTTGGGAGGTTTTGACTTCCCACAGTGACTACAGTGAGCAGGGCTATTAGGCAGGATATGTGCCCTCCTGAGAGGTGGAGGGCAACCTGATCTAGTTGTGTGATCTTTAATGTTAGCTTCTATGATGACTTCTTCCTAGTCTACAAGGACTCCTATACAGAATCATAAAAAATTATTGCTACAAAGCACTTAGAGAATATTTATTTTTTGAAGGTACAGAATATTTGTTTTTTGAGAAAGAAACTTATTCTTCTCACTTCAAAAAATTTTTTTGGGGGGTAGATTTAACATTCTCCACGTTATAGAAAGTTTTCTTAACATCGTATTTTTTTAGAGTGAAAATATAAAATGAAAAAAGCAAAGCTACAAGAGTTCTAGGGCCATTTAGTTGATGTTTTTAATCCACATTTGTATAGTTTTTTGTTGTCTTCATCTTTGTTAAACTTTGTGTTTTAATGTGAGTATACCAGTTTTAAATAGCTTTGTGGTATCAAGAGCATCTTAGGTTTTTGATTTTGAAAGTAAATATAATGAGTTCATAACCCACCTATCTTATTTCATTTTCATGATTGCATTTTGCAACTAAAAATGACATTTTCCCTTAAACAAATGTCCTCAAAGATTACTTTTTTAAAAAACATATTGTGGTGTATCAAGACACTAAAACAAAATTACTAAATTAGACTGGTGAGTTCTGTGACTAAGAATTTGCTTCCATTAGGCTATGCTTTTGATTCAGACACCTGTTAAATTTTGATTTAATATTATTTTAGAATATTAATAGAAACAGAATTAATTCTGTTCACTCATACGTCAAAAGTAGTAGTATAGAAAATTTGTTCTTGTAAAATATCTGAAACCATATGTTGTGTATTTTTTTGTGTCTTTGGCATGGATCCTTTCTGGCTGTGATAAATCTCCAGTAATTATTTCTGAATAGAATTTTGGAGACCTAAAAGTAACCTCTGTTACTTTTTTTTTTGTATTTATAAGCTAGGAAGTCAAGTAACAAATGACTTGTCCATCTAGCAGTATCCATATGCCCACTTGTCCCAAACCCACCATTATGTGTGTCTGCTATGGTGGCAAAATGTTTTTCTACAAAAACCATAGAGAACTAATGATATTTATTAAGAAAAGATATTATTAAGAAAAGAGAAAAGAGAAATATAGAGAATACATGTATTTAAGACATAAGCAGCAGAGCAGGTACAAAGATTGAGAAAGAATTTTTAGGAAGGGTGGAAGGCAGGTTGGTTTGTTGGAAGATAAAAAGCCATAAAAACCAAAAAAGAGTTTCAGGGAGAAGTGAGTCAGTAGGATCAGATACCTGAGAGAAACAGAAAAAAGAAGATGGAGATAAACAACAAGGTCCCAAGGTGTAGTACAGGGAACTATATTCAGTATCTTGTAATAAACCATAATGGAAAAGAATACCAAAAGAATGTTTATATAACTGAATCACTTTGCTGTACATGAGAAACTAACACAACTATAATGAATCAACTATATTTCATTTAAAAAAATCAAGATGAGTAAATTTCTGTCGTATATGATCATTAGGAAGTGCTGACCTCACTCAGGTCATGGTGTGGGCAGAAGGCATATATCAGTGTGTTGAAAAACAAACAAGAAGTGATAAAATGAAGACTGCAGGTGTGGTTCCTCAAAGGGTCCCTTAATCCCTGTCCTAGTATTCTGCACTGTTTCTGATTACTGACTTTTAAAGCCTTTGCACTTGAATTTGAAGATATTAAATATGAACTAATCATTTAGCTCATTACACAGTTGCCAGAAACCTGACACTTTTATCTTAATGTTATAATTTGTATAAAACTAATTAAAGTTCCTGAACACTTAAAGCACAGCTAAATGGAAACCTCTAATACAAGTGCTAATTTTAGTTTCTTATTTCTTTTAAAAAGTCTTGGCTACTTATGATTCAGCAGACAGAACAACTTAGTAGGATAATGAAGACACATGCAGAGGACCTAAATTCTGGACCTTTACACAGGCTCACCATGATGATCAAAGACAAGCAGCAGGTGAAGAAGAGTTATATAGGTGTTCATCAGCAGATAGAGGCAGAGATGATAAAGGTTTGTCTTTCCATGCTGGAATTCTTTCTTTAATTTGATTTTTAAATTCAATGAAGTACTTTCTCCTGTTTGACTTTAAAAGATTGTTTAGTCATCATTTCCTAACAAATAGATATCAGTATATTTTTATTGAATATAAAACATTATTAATTTTAAGATAAACTGTTATTTTACATACTCCCATGAAAGAAAAAATGCTGTCAATTAAACTATGATACAATACTTTTTTATCACTTAGAATTTTTATTTTTTACTTGCTGAAATAGCTCTTTTAAGCTTTTAAAAAATATTAATTTGTATCATGTAATACTATGTATATAATAAAAAAGAAAATATAGGCAAAATAAATTAGTTGGGATATTTCTAAATTTTCTTTACATTTAGTCTGTCTTTTCTGGATAATTTTTTGCAATGGTTTTTATTTTGAAAATTTGCCAATGTACAGAAGAAGAGAGAATAGTAAAATGAAATCTCATTGACCTATCCATCCAAATATTCAATTAAAAAAAAATCTGTACTCTTACCTACTTTTCTTTTACAGTGGATAATTTTAAAGAAAATTCCAGTTATTATTTTACCCATAGATATTTTCGTATGTATTGCTAAAAAAAAGTCCTCTTTTAAAAAAAAGAAAACATAACTATATTATCATTAACCCACCTTAAAATAACAATAGTTCCTTAGTATTTTTAATTACCCTGACTGGCTCAAATGATTGTTAAATTTTTTTTTATAGTTGGCTCATTTTGAATCATGACAAAACTGTATAATTTATTCTATAGAACTGAATTTCCTTCATTTTGGAATTTACTGTTAGTATCATGTGATACAATTTCACATATACCTCGATCCTTCAGTTTTCCTGTAAACTGGGAGTTAGATCTAGAGGCTTGATAAGATTCTGGCTGTTTATTTTGGGTAAGAATACATCACAGTTGCTGGTATAGACTTATTATTTCATATCAGAAGAGAGGTATATAATGTCTGCTTATTTATCTTTTTGTGGTGTTAAACTTGGCTAATAGGTTTCAATTTTGCCAGCCTGATCAACCTAGTAAAAGAGTTTCTTTTCAGCTTTTCAACTGATAGTTTTAGAAACAATTGTTTATTGCTTAGATCCATTTGTTCAATGGAGGCTATAAAATGGCAACATTTTACATCTGTCATTCCTAATGCAGTTGTTAGCTAGAATCTTTCAATAAAAATGTTTCCTGTGTCAGTTTTTTGACTACCTTGAAGTATAGTTCATACAGGAAAGGCAGGATAAATGCCTGCTTTTTGACATTAATTTGCCAATTTGCAGAACAGTGAATTAGTTCTTTAGCAAATTCAAAAGTTAAGACTTCCAATTTTCAGTCCAGCATGTAAGAAGTTTGGAAGTTGTCACTCCATCCTAACAACAAGTGAAAAGCTGAACAAACCTAAAGATGAACAACTCTTCTTGGATCCATTAGAGAAGGTAGGTCATAAAGCAAATGCTGCCCCCAAAGTGGAGAGACCGACAAGCAAATACAGAGAATCAGAACTTTTCACAGCAGCAAGCAGCTCGGGAACCAGTACTGGCTATAGAAAAACCTGAATTATAGTTGACAAATTCTGGAGATTCAGTGTGAACAACTCTGACAGTTAAAAACTCCAGGAGGACCCAATCATTGAGAGGCTTTTATACGTTTGTAAGTTTTACCTCCCAATCCCTATGAGGTTCTTATGGTGAATATAGGAGAAAAATGGCATGCTCTTGTCATGATTTGCAAACTCTAGAGAAGCCAACTAAAAAAAAAAAGAGGAAAAAAAAGAAGTATAGCTGGTATGCTAAGAAATGGCAGAAAATAGAATCATATAAAATACTCAGTTTAAAGCCATAAAGACAGAAAAAGAGTGGAAGACAAAAATAGGAACAAATAGTAAGGGTAACAAATAGGAAACAATAACAAATATAGTAGATATTAATACAAGTATATCAATAATTACTTTGAAAGTTATTGGTCTTAAACCAATTAAAAGACAGGTTTTGTCAGAATGGATCAAAAAAATAGTGCATGTACAATTACTCATATCAGAAGTGAAATACGGGACATTACTACATATCCTATGGATATTAAAAGAATAATGAAGGTAGGGAGGGTATAGCTCAGTGGTAGAGCACATGCCTTGCATGCATGAGGTCCGAAGTTCAATCCCCAGTAACTCCATTGAAATATAAATGAATAAGTAAGTAAACCTAATTACCTCCCCAAAATAAAAATACTTGCTTAGTAAACATGAAAAAAAAATAAGAGGATAATGAAGGAATAGTATTAACACCTCTATGCATACAAATTCGATAATTTAGCAGAAATGGGTCAATTCCTTCAAGGACGCAGTCTGCTGAAACTCACAGAAGAAGAAACAGATAATCTGGATAGGCATGCATCGATTAAAGTAATTGAATTGATAACTGATGACCTTCCAAAACAGAAAGCACCAGGCTCTGATGGCTTTAGGTTCACATGGCTTCACTGGCAAATTCTGTCAGACATTTAAGGAAGAAATGATACCAGTTCTCTACAAACCATTTCAGAAAAAGAAACAGAGGGAAACTTCCTACTCCATTGTATGAGGCCAGCATTACCTAACAAAAGCAAAGACATTAGAAGAAAAGAAAACTACAGACCAATGTATCTATCTCATGAACATAGATGCAAAAATTCTTAATAGACTATTTGGAAATAAAATCCAACAGTGTAGAAAAAGAATTATATACCTAGACCAAGTGGGATTTATCTCAGATTTGAAAGGCTGTTTCAAGATTTGAAAATACGTTAATGGAATCCATGACGTCAACAGACTAAAAGAGAAAAAATCACTTGAGCATACGAATAGGTGCAGAAAAATCATTTGACAAAAAATCCAACACCAATTCACGATGAAAACTCACAGTAAACCAGGAATAAAGGGGAACTTCCTCAACTTGATAAAGGATATCTACAAAAATCTTACAGCTAGTATCATACTTAATTGTGAGAAACTTGTAACTTTCCCACTAAGATCAGGAGCAAGACAAGGATGTCCCCTCTTACGACTGCTTGTTAACATAAAACTGGAAATCTTAGCTAATGTAACAAGAAAAAGAAAATGCATACAGATTGGGAATGAAGAAATAAAGACATCTTTGTACAGATGACATGACTGTACAAGATCTATAGGAGGAAAATGACAGAATTCTAATGAGAGAAATCAAAGAAATAATTGTAGAAATATATTATGTTCATGGATATGAGAAACCTCAATATTGTTAAGATATCAGTTATTCCCAATTTGCAGTATAGATTCAACACAATCCCAATAAATATCTCAGCAGGTTATTTTGTGTATATTGCCAAACTGATTCTGAAGTTTGTAAGGAGAAGCAAAAGACCCAGAATGGCTAACAGAATAATGAAGGAGAAGAACAAAACTGGAGGACTGACACTACCTAACTTCGAGACTTACTATAAAGACAGAGTAATCAAGATAGTTTGGTATTTGGGAAAGACAATAGACAAATAAACAAAAGACCAGTGGAACAGAACAGAGGGTCAGAAGTAGATCCACATAAATATAATTACCTGATCTTTGACAAAGGGGCAAGGTCAGCATGGGGGAGAAAAGTTAATATTTTCAACAAATGGTGCTGGAACAACGGATAGCCACTTGCAAGAAATGAATCTAGACACAGATCTTACACCATTCACAAAAATTAATTCAAAATGGATTATAGATGTAAATATAAAACATAAAACTATTAAACTCTTAGAAGATAAATAGGAGAGAACCTAAATAACCTTGGGTATGGAGATGACTTTTCAGATAGATCCATGAAAGAAATAATTGATAAGATGGAATTCATCAAAGTTGAAAACTTCTGCTCTGTTTTCCTTTCTTTCTTTTTTTTAAAAAATTGTAACTCCACAGAAACATGTGTGGCACACGTCACAAACAGCAAAGGAACAACATGAATTTTCATCAAGAGAAATTTTACTTATACTGGACTTAAATCAAAGTACAAAGTGACTCCAATCTCAAAGGATGTTGCATCTTTAATACAAATTTAAGGGAAAGTAAGAGCATTGGAAATGAAACTCAAAAGGGTCTTAAGCACACTATGGGGTCCTCTATAAGCAAGTATGGAACTATAATGATTTCATAAATGTAAAAGAAATAACAAACTGAAAGCAGCCTGATATGCAAGATAAAATGAACCAGATTGGCAAAATTCTCAGACAGGTTTCAACAACAGATATCAATGAGATACAACAGTTAAAAATTATATAAAGTGGGAAAATGTTCAATCCCATGAGACCAGAGCAGTAACTGTGATGACTAGTTACCCAGACGTAAGAGTCCATATTTCTTGCCTGCTCCAGGTAAACACACACACACACACACACACACACACGTTCCCCTAAACCAAAAAAAAAAACCACCAAACTTCTACATAATTCAGTGTCAAAAGAATGAGAAGATAAGCCATAGACTGGCAGAAGATAATTGCAAAGACACATCTGATAAAGGACTGTTACCTAAAATATACAAAGAACTCTTAAAAGTCCATTAAGAAAACAAACAACCTGATTGAAAAACAGACATCTCACCAAAGACACACAGATGGCAAATAAGCGCATGAAAAGTTGCTTCTTTTATCATCAGAAATGCAAATCAAAGCAACAGTGAGATACACTACACATCTGTTAGAATGCTCCAAATCCAGAAAGCCAACACTAAAGCTGGTGAGGATGTGGAGCAACAGAAAACACTTACTCGTTGCTGATGGGAATGCAAAATAATCCAACCACTTTGGAAGACAGTTTCACTGTTTCTTACAAAACTAAAAATACTCTGACCATAGGACCCTGCAATTGAGCTCCTTGGTATTTTCCCAAAGGAGCTGAAAACATATGTCCACACTGAAGCCCACACAGTTGTTTATAGCAGCTTTCTTCATAATTGTGAAAACTTGGAAGCAACCAAAAGGTCCTTTATTAAATGAATGGATAAATAAACCGTGTGGTGCATCCAGACAAAGGAATATTATTCAGCTTTCAAAGGAAATGAGCTACCAAGCCACGGAAAGACATGGAGGAACTTTAAATGCGTATTACTAAGTGAAAGATGACACCCTGAAAAATCTGTATGATTCTAATTATATGATACTCCAGAAAAGTCACAACTATGGAGACAGTAAAAAGATTATTTGTTCTCAGGGTTTAGTGGGGAGAGAAGAACGAATAGGTGGAGTAGAGAGGATTTTTTGACAGTGAAAAATGACTGTGTGCTACTATAATGATGGATACATGTCATTATATGTTTGTTCAAACCCATAAAATGTACAACACCAAGAGTGGAACTTAATACAAATTATGTACTCGTGTGGCAGTGATGTGTTGCAGTTTTATTAGTTGTAACAAATGCACCACTGTTGTAGGGGAATGTTAATAGTGGAGGAGGCTGTGCATGTATAGGGATAAAAGATAAATGGGAAATCTCTGTACTTTGTGATCAATTTTGCTGTGATACTAAAACTGCTCTAAAATGTAAAGTCCATTAAAAACAAAACATTAACCAGTGAAGTTTCTTTTAAAAGGGAATCATTTAAATTCATTTATATCTAAATCATAGTTGTTGATATTTTTGTTTATTTACACAGTGCCATCCTTCATGTGTCAAGAACATTGGTGATGCAGAATTTGTTTAAAGTGGATTCTGGCATTTTCCAAATTACTTATGCCCCTTTAGCAAGTTTTTAATGCTGCTCATTTCTAACTTTTCTTAGAAGGCTTATTAGAAGTTTTTCGGATATCTCGGACTCTGATTTTTTCCTCAAATGCTATTTATGGCTTTTTGACAAGAGTCAAGGACTTGGGTTTGTCTAGCCTTTCTGTAGATAATAACTAAGCTCATACGTGCATGCAGTGACCACTCTCATGATTGCTGCCGGGTCAGCAATGATCATTAGATGCATCTTCTTTTCACAGATGTTACAATGTAAAAAAAAAAAATTATGTTAGAGCTGGTGAATTGTGACAACTCAAGAGTTATTCTGTATAATTAAGTATTTTAATTTTATTTTAAAATTAGCATATTTCAGAGAAAATATTTCTGTATGCAGCAATTAATTATTGGTCTTTAAATTTTAGAAAATGATGGCACTATTTCTTGACTTGCTCTTCTTTTTAAGAAGTGTTTTTCCCTTTTTCATATGCTGTTGAATTTATCACCAATTTCTAAGCTAATTTTAATTATTGTTTGTAAATTGTATGTTGAAGAGCAACTCTGACCTATAAGCAGTAAAATATGTATTAGTCAATGCTTTGGAAGTTAAGTTCTTGACTGATGAAAATTTAAAGGCATTAAAAACCTTTTTTGTTTTTCTTTTTTTGGACAGGTTACAAAGACAGAATTAGAGAAATTAAAAACCAGCTATAGACAATTAATAAAAGAAATGAATTCTGCCAAAGAGAAATATAAAGAAGCTGTAGCTAAAGGTATGGCAACTTATGAAAAATGTTTATTTTAGTGATTTTTTATTCTTATCATTTGAAAGTTACCTTTGTAAGTGGTGGAATGATTCTTAGACCAATTCAGATTTAAAAATATTAAAATAAGACAAAATAGACTAATTAATAAGTCTATATTGTCCTAAAATTTTCATAATTAGCTTTGATAGTAAATGGGAAGAGAAACACTGTTATAACCAGAGATTTATGGTTATAGTCTTTAGTTGTGACTAGTCTTCATATTTAGATTTTTAAATTAAAAATTTTTTTCTGTTCATCCTGGTTAAATATAAGATTTATTTGCAATGCTTTAAAAAAATTCTTCAACTTCCGTTTCTCTTTTATTAATGTATTTTCTCTTTGTCTTTTACTTGTATGCTATGTTGTTATTTTGTTGAGGTTAATGAAATAAACAGCTCCTGCATTTGAATATACCTTGCACAATGAAAATACTGTGTTTTTGTTGTTATTCCCAGTAAACTAGGAGAGGTACTGATTTAGATGAACATTCCCCCTCCATCCTTACTTCCTCCCTTTCTGTCTCCCTTCCCCTCATCCTCTCACTCCTCCTTGCTTCCTTCCTCTCCTTCCTTCTCTCTCTTGCTCTCCCTTCTAATATTCCCTTCAACATTTACTCCCTTTGTGTCTTCCTTTCTCCTTGTCTCCACCCCTCCCACATTCACGTCATGTTTCTGCTTCTTGCAGTGTTTCTGTTGCTGTTTTAGGGAAGATGAATTAATGTTTGTTCAGTTAATTTTTACTTATTTTCTTGGTACCTCAACCTATATTTTGAGATTATGATGTCTTTTTAATGCAAACACAGCTTTTAAAATGTTTTTGTAATTCAATTATGTAAGTTATTTAAGTGAAGAAAAGATAAAAAAGGAATAGTGGAAAGTTCATAGACTTTACAGTCAGATGGTCTTGGATGTTAGTTCCAATGTTGTTTCATGGATTTTCAGACTTCATGTACCTAATTTTTATTCCTTTGTTATTTTAAAGAATGCTTTATATAATCAAGAAATATTTACTGAGAACTTACTATCCTTAAATTATTGAGATTCAAACAGTATTTCCTAGGCATTCAAGGAGCTTACCCATTTCTGGTTACTATCCTAACGGGAAATCCAAGTCTTTCCCTTTTCCAAAATTTAGCTTTTAGGCAACGGATTTCTTGCAAACCATCAAGAGTAATTTAGAAATAGTTTTGTACACTGAGCATTACTACTCAATCTGTCAAATTTTATAAAGTTCATTACCTAATACTTGGTTAGCATTCTCAAATTAGTTCCCTATGTTATAAATATCCATATTTAAATTTACCCAGAGCAAGTGACGACTTAATCCAACTATATTGTAATCCATCTATGCCTAGTATTTCACACTAACTCTATATCTGTTGGAGAATGAGTAGTTAGAAAAAGGAATATATAATTGCTCCCAAGTCTTTAGTACCTGTTTTTAATGGTATAGCTTACTTTTGTTTAAAAAAAAGAAATCTAAATCTGGTATCATAATAAAGTTTTAAATAGTTCTTTTACCTAATATTTATATTGTCAGAGATTATTCACAGGTAATAATTTTTCTTTATTACTTTTGATATAGACGAAACACGACTTAGTGTTGTATTAATAGTAGGAAGGCACTAGAAAATCTGAATACCATAGTTTTAATTGATCTTCAGAAGTATATCATTTGACTGAGTCTCCTGAACTTAAAATATGTGAGTTCATTTACATTACTCTTTCCAAAGTTATTAGTGATAGTATTTTCCTATTTTCAAGAATTTGATTATCCTATTAAGTCAGTTTATAATGTATAGAGTATATACTTAAAGTAAGTTTTATGTAACAAGGTAAATGCATGAGACATACAGAAAGTTCCCTTTTATAATCAAAAGTACTATCTATATACTCGTGTTTACATGTTTACTTGAAAAAGTATAAAATTATATTTTTGAAAACTTTGTGTCTATTTTCAGACTGCTTCTATGTTTAACATAGAAATAGGGTCTTATTTGTGTTTGTAAAATTATTTACTCTTTTTTAATTAAAAAGATTTTGTTCTTATTATTTGGGCGGGAGGTAATTAGGTTTACTTATTTATTTACTTTTAGACGAGGTACTGGAGATTGAACCTAGGACCTAGTGTATGCTAAGCATGTACTCTACCACTTGAGCTATACCCTCCTGCCCCATTTACTCTTTATAAGGCTGATATGATGGCAGATTCTTCCAAAATTTACAGGCTCTATGTCAGAACCTTAGTTCATCTGGAGAGGCCAGATCAGGCCATTTCTGGAATGGGCCCTAGGAACTGCTGGGGCACTGGCACTGGATACCGAAGCTGTGGCTCTGACACTCAGAGTTATTAATTTAGACATTAGGAGGTTTTGATAAAGCTATTTAAAGCCCCAATCTGGTATATAGCATCCAGTTTGAGAAGACAAGGCATTGGGAGAGATAGGATCTGGTAATAGTTCCTATAGTAGGTAAGGATTACATTCAGGGTTTGATTTGGTTTGGAGTCAAGGACTCAGTTACTGCAACTGGAGGTTCAGCAGTAGCAGTAGATCAGTAAGAAGCCTGGGCTAATACTGAAGTTCCAAACTCCTCTCCCCTGCTGCATAGATTATACAAAATGCTTTAACTTTTGAATGTTAGAACTTACACCCAAAGGAACACTGACTTATGTTCAGTCTAATGTAAAACATAATGTTCAGTTGTAATATGAATATAGCATCATTTTGGTCAATATTTTTGGTAATATACCTTAAATTTCAAACTCATTTTGCTCTATGCAGTGCTCAGAGAATAACTATTTGTCTTAATTTGACTTGGACTAATTTGAACATTAGTCTGTTGATTGTTATTTATAACATGTATACTGAGAACAACCAAAATAATTTTAGCCTTTTAAGCTCAAGTTAATAATTTAGAGAGTTTCCTGATAGCATGTAATAACAAGTTTTTGAATGCAAAATACTCAGGTTTTACTTTCCTATTGCACATTAAGTTCTGAATACTTTAAGTTGGTTACTCATATGGCTAGGTTTGCCATAAAACAATTTTGTGACTCTATAAAGCTTGTATCCAAACTGAAGTTTTGACATAATGGTGGTAAATGTTGGAAAAATTTGCCATCACATCATCTTTATGAAGAGTAAATGACTTTACCAAAGAACTGCAGGATCGTATCATCTATGAACAAAGACAGTTTTACTTTTCCTTTTCAATCTGTATGTCTTTTCTTTTCTTTTCTTTTTTTTTTTCTTGCTTAATTGCCCTAGGTAGAACCTCTAGTACAGTAGTGAATAGAAGTACAAAGCAAGCATGTTTGCTTTGTTCCTGATCTGAGGGGGAAAGGCTTTCGTCATTAGTGTGAAGACAACTATAGTTTTTCAAAGACTTTTCTTACTATCAGGTTGAAGAAGTTCCTTTTTATTCCTGCTTAAACTAAGAATGGATGTTGGGTTTTGTCAAATGCTTTTTCTGTATCTATTGAAATGAGTATTTTTTCTTTTTTTAGCTTGATATGGTAATTTTTTTGATTGATTTTCACATGTTTCAAATATTGTACCAACTTCACATTCTTGGGATAAATTCTTCTTGGTTATGATGTATTATTATTTTTTACGTTGTTCAATGTGGTTGGCTAAGTTTTTGTTTATACATATTTATCTTTGTCTCTGTTTCTTTCATCTTTGTCTCATTTTTGTATAAGGATAATACTGTCCTCTTCATGATTACCATCTCTTCAGTTTTGTAGAAATATTTGTGTTCAATTACTAGTATTTCTTAAATATTGGTAGGATTCACTTGTGAAATCATCTAGGTCTGCTTGTTGTATTTTTTCTTTTTTCTGAGGTTTTTAAACTATAAATTAAATTTCTTTAGTTTATATAGGGCTATTCAGTTTATCTGTTTTTGTTTGAGTTTTAGTAGGTTGTATCTTTCAAGAAATTGTGCATTTCATTTAAACTGTTTAATTTATTGATACTAAGTTTTTCAGAATATTCCCTTATTCACCTTTTTATATTTGTAGAATCTGTGGTGATAATTTCCTCTTCATTCTTGATATTGGTCCTTTATGTCGTCTCTTTTTCCTAATCATTCTGGCTGGAGGTATAATGATTTTATTAACCTCAAAGATCAGCTTTAGGCTTTTTTAAAAAATATTTTTCTGCTTTCTATTTAGTCGACTTAAGCCCTAATCTTTAGTTTTTCCTTCTTTCTGCTTGGTTTAGGCTTAGTTTGCATCAACTTTTCTATTTTTTTTTTTTAATGTGGATGCTCAGGTCATTGATTTGAGAACTATCTTCTTTTCTAATATAGGCATTTAGTGCTGTGAATTTCCCTAAGTACTGTTTTAGCAACATTCCATAAATTTGTAATGTTTTACGTCTTCATTTTCCTTCAATTCAAAATACTTTATAATTTCCTCTTAGGTTTTTTCCTTTGATCCATAGATTATTTAGAAGTGTGCTTAGTTTCCTAATGTTTTGGCATTAAATTTTTTTCTATTTTTGATTTATAATTTAATTTCATTTGGTCTGAGAATGTTCTTTATATGACTTTATTCCTTTTAAATTTATATATGCATGTTATATGGCTCATAGTATGGTTTCTCACGGTAAATGCTTCATGTGCGCTTGGTAAGAATATGTATTCTGCTATTGTTGGTTGGAGTGGTCTGTATTGCTAGCTTGATCCAGTTGGTTACTAATGTTATTAAAAATTTTTATCTTCTTACTGATTTTCTGTCTACTTGTTTTGTCAATTATTAAGAGAGGGCAATTGAAATTCCCCACTGTAATTGTAGATTTGTCTATTTCTTTTCATAGTTCTGTCAGTTTTGCTTAATGTATTTTGAAACTCTGTTATTGAGTGTAAAAGCCATCATGATTGTATTCTTGACGCTTTGACCCTTTTGTTATATAAAGTGACCTTTGTTATCCCTGGTATTCTTCTTTGCTGTGTTATCTATTC